GGGAATGAGGGGCTGGGGATGAGGGGGGGGCTGGGAACGAGGGAGGGCTGGGAATGAGGGGGGAATTGGAAATGAGGGGGAAATTAAGGATAGAGGGCCTGAGGATGAGGAGGGTCTGTGGATGAGGGAAGGCTGTGGGTGAGGAGGTTGAAGAGAAGGGGGGAACTGAGGATGAGGGGAGGCCCTGAACGAGGGAAAGCTTAGGATGAGGAGGGTGTTTGTGGATGAGGGAAGGCTGTGGATGAGGAGGGGGCTGAGGATGAAGGGGACTGAGGATGGGGGATGATCTGTGGATGAGGGAAGGCTGAGGATGAGGAGGGGCTGAGGATGAGGAGGGGCTGAGGATGAGGAGGGACTGAGGATGAGGAGTCCCTGGATGAGGGAAGGCTGTGGATGAGGAGGGGCTGAGGATGAAGAGTCCCTGGATGAGGGAAGGCTGTGGATGAGGAGTCTGAGCATGAGGAGGGGGCTGCGGATGATGGGAGCCCCCGCATGAGGGAGTTTGTGGATGAGGGAAGGTTGAGCAGTGACAAACCCCTCCTCTGCCCCACCCCCCCTGCTCCAGACTTTGTCCCAGGGTGTCTTCCCCCACAACACCCCTCTGACTCGCAGTCCCTCCTCCCCCTCCTGTCCATGACCTCCTCTGGGATCTCCCTCCGCCTGCACCCCCCACCCAGGGCACTGCTGTGGGCACAGGTGACAGCTGGCTTGTCCCCAGTGCCACCCCCAACCAGATCCCATCCCCACCCCATGGATTTGATCCTTCCTCCCGTTCTGTCCCCGTGCCCTGCTCTCATCCCCCCTCACAACCCCCTCCATCCCTGATTGAATTCAACAATTCAGTTTATTTCCCTCCCTCTCCCACAAAGGGACCAGAGGAGGAGGAAAGAGATGATTCCATTATTAATTTACCACTTCTCTCCAAGCCTAATGTTCCAGTCCATTGTCTCCCTGGCTCTGCAGGGAGAGGATGTGGGGGTGAGGTTGGGTCCCTGCTCCTCAGGACTATCCCAGGAAAAGGGTAAATCCTCCCTCCCAGCCCCAGGGAATCCTGCAGTTCTCCAAAGAGAGACACTCGTGTACCAGAATTTGTGCTGTGGAAAGGGGTGGCTCTCCTGGAGAAAGCTAACACGTGGTAACAGAGCAACTGGCAAAGTTTGGGAAAAGCCTCAGGAACAGCCCCAGGTCTCTGCTTGCAGAGCTGAGCACAACCACGGAATTCCAGGCTGGTTTGGGTGGGAAGGGACCTTAAATCCCATCCAGTCCCACCCCCTGCCGTGGGCGGGGACACCTCCCACAGACCAGGTGTCTCCAGCCCTTGGACACTTCCAGGGATGGGGCATACCCTGGGAATTCCATGCCAACCCCTCCTAGGGAAGGATTTCTTCCCAATATCCCATCTAACCCTCCATCTGACAGTGGGAAGACATTCCCCTCATCCTGTCCCTCCACCCCCTGTCCCAGGTCCCTCCCCACGCTGATAAAGCTGCTCAGGGCTCTCTAACCCTGAGCCTGCGTTTAAATCTTTTAGTGCTGCAAATAAAACCCCCTGAGTTGCCACTCACGTGGCTGTGAAAGTCCACAGGGACAGCCCTGAACTGTCTGGGGGGCTGAGGATGAGATGAGGCTGAGGGAGCAGGAGCTTAGGGGGGAAGGCTGGGGGAGGCTGAGGGAGCTGTGGATGAAAGGGTGGACAGAGGATGGGAAGGGTGTGGATAGAGGAGTGGACTGAGGAAGAAAAGGGGGCTGTGGATGCCGGGGGTGAGGATGAGGAGGGCACTGAGCCCGAGGGGCCGTGGCCGTGGGAAGGCCGGGAAAGGGGATGTGGATGCAGGGGTGAGGATGAGGAGGGCACCGAGCACCAGGAGGCCGGAGGAGGTGCTGAGGGGGCTGTGGATGCCGGGGGTGAGGATGAGGAGGGCACTGAGCCCGAGGGGCCGTGGCCGTGGCCGGGGAAGGTGCCGGGGCCGGGAAGGGCGCAGGGCCCGCAGCACCGCCCGCCGCGGCCCCCGCAGGCCCCTGAGCCGCCCGGGCCGCGGGTCCCGCCGGTTCTCCGGGCAGCTCCGGGGGCTCGGCCGGGCTCGGCACCGGCGGGCTCCGACCTGCCCGGGCCCCGCGGCCGCCGCCGCCTCCCTCAGGGGGCCCGGCCAAGGTCACAGCCGCCCCCACCGCAGCGAGCGGCTCGCGCCCCTTCCCGGACCCGATCCCACTCCTGGGCTGGCTCGTGATCCCAATCCTGTTCCCGATCCCGATCCTGCTGCCGCTCCTGATCCCACTCCCGGTCCCGATCCCGCTCCTCACCAGGGCTCCCTCGCGTACTCCTCCATCTTGCCCCGGCCCCGCCGCCTCCCCGCGCGCCATTGGCTGAGCCCGCCGCGCGCCGCCCAATGGGGAGCGCGGGGCGGGACCGGGGGAGGGGCCTGAGCGTTGATTGACAGGCCCTGAAATGGCGGCCTGAGGGGAGAGCGGGGGAAGGGCCCGGGACGGGAATGGGGACGGGATTGGAGACGGTCCTGGAATTCCACCCCTGGAATTCCACCCCAGGAATTCTACCCCTGTCCCCGGCAGCGACACCCCCCGCACGGCCGGGTTACCCCAGCTTTGTCCAGCCTGGCCTTGGACACTGCCAGGGATGGGGCATCCCTGGGAATTCCATCCCAGCCCCGATGGGGTGTGTTGGGCCTGATTTAAGGTGTGTATGTGAGGAACAGATGTGTGTATGTGTGTATGTAAGGTGTGTATGTGAGACACAGTTTTGGGGCTTACCAGGAAACGCTGCTGTGGCTTCTGCCTTGGCCCAGGAGGGGAGATGGGAAAAGTGGGAAATCCCGGGTTTGGGGTCCCCCATCCCCGGGAATGTCCGAAAATCGTGTGGCTGTGGCCCTTGGGGACAGTTTGTAGCGGGGGAGTGGGTTGATGGTTGGGCTGGGTGGTCCATCCCAGCATCTGTAAGTCCAGGATCTCTCCCTGACTTTCCAAGCTGGAAAAGGACTGGGAAGGACCTCAGGGAGCTCCAGAGCTGGGGGGATGGGGGACACTCCTTTGGCTCCTTCCGGCAAAGGAGGCACCAAATGGACCCCGAATGTTCCATTCCCTGGGGATCCTTCGGCTTCAGCCCTGGCACGGCCATGGAAGTGTGGGGGGAGAAGAGTCAAGGAAGCTGGACAGGGAATCTCCACCAGGAACCGTGCCAGGACACAGGGAATGGCTTCCCAATGGCAGAGGGAGGGATAGGTGGGATATTGGGAAGGAATTGCTGGCTGGGAGGGTGGGGAGGGGCTGGGATGGAATTCCCGGAGGATGCCCCATCCCTGGAAGTGCCCAAGGCCACGCTGGAGCATCCTGGGATGGTGGGGTGGGATTTAAGGTCCTTTCCAACCCAGGGATTGGCCTTGTCCTCCCTGATGCAAATGAGCTCCAAGGCAAGGGCTGTGGGATCAGGGCTGGAGTGGGATGGGATCCAAGAGGACAATGTTTAGGGTTGTGCACTTGGAAACCAAAGCCAACACTTTCTGCTCCAATCTGGAAAAAATCTCAGCCCTGCTGGTGAATCACAGGAAGGGAATGAGCAGGAGCTGGGGCTGGAGATAAAGGAAAGCCTGGAATGCCCCAGGAATGTGCATTTCCAGTCAGGATGGGGAGTGTCCAGGTTGGAGAATCACCTGGAGCCCTCCCTGGCTGTGCTCAGGATGAGGGAAACTGGGATGAAAGGGCAGGAGAAGGAACGGTGGGAAAGCTGGATGGGAAGAACCTGCTTGGGAGAACTCCCAAGTGCCAGGGGAGCTTCCCTAGGGATTAGGGAGATGGAAAGTCGGTGCCACCAGGCAAAGGCCAGGCTTGGGGCACTGCCTGGAGCAGGAGCAGGAATTGGGGCTGTGCAGAAG